CTCTCTCTCTTTCTCGTTTCGTATTTCGCGGATGTCAATAGGAAACATTTGTCGAACAATCAATTTTCATCGTGACTACTCGCTTGTAGCACAAGAAATCTGGAATGAAAGTGTGAAATTTACTATCGCCTGTTAGTAATATCGTTTCATTAGCCAACATAATCACAAATGTACATTCAGACCTGATACTTAATACATCACCGACACTTCATAGCATCTATGAACGTGTAAATGTTATTTTTAATTCAATAAAAAGGAATATCAACCGCATTTATATGAAATTTTCATGTTAAGATTACATCGCGAAACCTTTGGATAAGTAGACCAACAGTAACTAGAAATCATCACGCATAGATTACAATTCTTACGTTTCGCTCATATGCCTCTACGCATGTGGTTTCAAATATATCCAACTCCGAGAGTTGAACGGTAGACAGATTATTGTCATAGACACAGAGTAAACTCGAAAAACTTGGGACCGTCGAATCTATCATACAAAATGTGATACACGGTAAGACTTTTAGTCTTATTAACGATAAGCACATTATACCCTTATTGTAGAATAACACGCTATTTTTGGAGAATGGAACGTGCGACGGACGTTCATATTTCGAATATTCCCGCCGTTAATCGAGGCGAAATTTTTAATCACTTTCGAACGAGAAGTGTCATTCTATAATGAGGCGATGATAAAACCGTGAATTCAATTACTTGTTATGACGTTTGATTCGTTTGTCTGATTTTTGTCATTATAGTAAATACAGATGGAACTGTTATCAAATTTCTTCCCTCGCATCTTCACAGACAGATTTGCACTATGTTCATTTTTATCTTTACGTCGCTCTGCGAATTACTTTCATCATTTCGAATCTAACAGCTTTGTCCATCTGTAATTTGCTAAGTTATTCTTATTATTGCGTGTGACTGTACAATTTCTGTAATCGAGTACTTGTACATACATTTTTTTACGATATAACGCGTGGGCACCAGATTTATGTTTAGACGTAACAAGATGATACAAAACCTCGAGTATTGATATGAAGCAACCTGAGTGAATATTTAATTCATAAATCAAGAAGATTCTCGTTTCAGAAAGATAATGGAAATAAATTGTTTTCGACGTAACTGTTTCATTTTATTTCTTACCCCCGTCCTCCCCTAACACGTATAAGCGTCATATTCGAATGAAATCACGAAAACAGATAAGTGACTGCTAATTAAACAGATAGGAAAAGAAGATTGCGATATTGTAAATGTTCATTCGATTGAGTAGACAATCTAAAGAGATGAAAATTAAATTGGAAAGAATTTAAGTGTTCGTAAATTATTTGAATATGTTGCTTTTATGATTTAATCGGACCGAAGCTCTTGAGAGGTCTCATTTCAGTTAAAATTGAAAGCCGAAGAGAGATTAGCCCTCTAAGGCAATTTAAATATGTTTCCCGGGTACATTGTGACGCGTATAAATGTATAAATATAATTTAATATGCTGAATGGGCGTTTAAACCCCTGTAAACTCATGAAGAGGGTTGGAAAAGCGAGAGAGGCCCAGACCCGACCAAGGTAGGTAAGGTGCGTAGGTTAGTAGTACCCAGGGGCGGATTAAACGATAGCTCCGGGCCTCAACATTAATAGGGTTCTCCAAGCACGAATAAAAATATAACTCTTATTTATATTCATAAAATAATCATTTTTTGCTGCCCTTGAGTGGGGCCCATGTTCATTTTAGTCTTAGGCCTCGTAAATCTTTAATCCACCCCTGGTAGTACCACGTTTACGAGTAATCAATGGCGTGACAAGGCATACCTAAAACTACTTGAGGATCATTAGTACAGCTGCGTTGAACGTGCATTAAAAGTAACATCCATCCGAGGCTCGTACGGATGCTTAGTTTCGTTCCGACCGGATGACCGACTAACCGGAATACGCCTCGACGCCACAGTATCTGATAACAGTTACACATTTTTATGTTACACCGTGCAGGAAAATAATAATCTCCGCTGTTGTCGGTCAAGTGCAAATACTCTGTGCCGCATTATTAGATTCCGTTAATAGGGCAGCCATAAAACACTTCGATCTCACGAACCGATGGAAAAACAAACGGTGAAACGATCTTGTGATACAGTTACCGTAAAAATAAAATTACGGTGAACGCGATGACATGCGAGAAGCGAAAATAAATACGCCATGGGACGATGGGTACGTCGAGTTCAAACCACGTTTTAATCTCCGACGAAAGATGTGAAAAAGGTGCGTCAACTTCTGCTATTTAAACAGATTCATCTATGACATCGTTACTTCCACGAATATTCGGACATTGGAATAATTCCAAAATCGTTAGAGCGAGTAATTAGGGTGAATTTATTTACGATGAAAAATAAAGAATTTTCATAGTGGTGGAAGCGCGATAATCCATTCAAATGAATTCGACGAGAGGAATTATAAATAATATAATTATGCAATTACTCTAGCGTCCGAATGTTTATGAGAATGATGTTACTAAATTTTCCAAGGATGCGAAGTCATTTACTCAATCAATTTTGGAAAGATATAATGCCGAAAGTGTTTCTATCACACCCACGATTTTTTAGAGTATTACAAAATAAATTAAAGTAACTGTTAACATGTAAACTGTTAGAAATGATAATGTACAAATTACATTTCGAGTACTAAACATTTACTAGACATAAATAAATTTATATCTTCTTATAACTATGTACATATAATACATAGACACGTAAATAAGATACATAACACAGCAGATACATAAATTAATATGGTATATTACGATAATTGTGACAAATGAACTCTTCCCCTGTTGCTGAAAGGACAAACTTAAAAATGAGTAGCAGAGGAGCCGGGGACATTCCAACGATATTTCATCCCCAGCAAACTCACACCCCGAGTATTGTTCTGACCGATAGTCAGCATGGATCACAAAACATTGCTGGTCAAACTACTCATGACAATCCTGGTGAGCTCTTACGTTGACGTCAATCCTTACTCAATGGAAAACCATGCGCCAGTGATGCGTATCAATGATAAGTCCGGCGGGGGACGCGGATTGTATATTTTCGTTTCAGTCAGTTCTGATTGATTTACGATTTGATCGTCAGTTATTATATGTCGATTGTGATTCGTTTATCATTTTTAACGATCGATTAATTATTTGTACGATTATAAATCGGTAACAAGAGGTGTTTCGTTTAATTGCTTTACGTGCGTTTGTTTTTTCGGAAATGGTGTTTTACTTTAGGCTGTGAACAGCAACAAGGTTGCAATGTTACCGGTGGTTGTGGTGATTCTATACCAAGTCGTCCTTTGGAGACAGGTGGAGGCGGTTCTGGTGACAATCAGGGGCACAATCCAAGCCAAACTCAGATCCAGTCTCATGTGACAGTACCGCCAGTTACTTACCCGCAAAGGCCTAGCTCTCTGTCCGCTTGTTACGCGTCCTGCTGTGCCGAATCCGCCAAGAAGGTCTAATTATTCTCACCGATACGACTCAGCTTTAATTAGGTCGCTGCATGCATTATTTATTCCTCAACGTTGATCTTGAATTTTAGATATATTTCGGAGTGTGTGTAACGATATGCGTCACGGCAAGTTGGGTCGGCGCGACGCATTGTATCAAATATTTATATTTTCACAAACACGAGTCTCCAAATTATTCATCGTTCTCGAATTTATCCGTAACCGGACGTCATCAGCATGTGAGTTCTCGCGTTCCTCATTTTTCAACTATGCAGATTTTCATTTTTATTATGAAAGCATTTATAAATACTTTAAATTAAAACAAAAGGAATACGTGTATTTCTAAAAATCTATTTATTCCTATGCAA